AAGCAATAAAAACTTTAAATGCTATCCCAACTGGGTTTAGATCAATGACTGGGAAACTATGGATCGGCTCATTTCCTTAAAACTCCCTCCCTCCCTCTCTTTCCTAAGACTTGCTAGCCCACTTAAGCCCACCTACTCTAGTATTAATCTCATAAATTGGAGGCTGGAATGATGTGCTGTTCTGTTTATAGCTGGAGACAATGTCTTGGAAGTTGTACTCAAAACTGAATAGAAATGTGCTTGAGGTTGTGTACTGTTTGTTCCTTGAATAAGTTATTAATGCATTTTTTCATTTTATGAGGAGAAAAAATGCTGCAGTCAAAATGAAAAGAAAATACTTTGTGAACAGATCTTGAAAAACTTGTAAGTTTCCAAGAGGAAGTGGTAAACAACCCTGAAATATAATTTTAATATTTTTAATAAATAAGGGATAGTGTTGATTATGCTATTAATTACCCCTTCCATTTACAAACTGTGCTGAAATTTATAAGCCTTCATTTATTGCAAGTATATTTGAGGGCCATCTGCTGGTTAATTGCTGCAAATGCAACAAATATTTTGCACAAAACAAAGCAGGAAAACATTTCCCCATTTTAAGGGAAATAGCAGATTTTACTTAGAAAATTTATGCAGAAACAAAAAGGTTCAGATACATGCTGCCCATGTGTCTAGAAACTTCAATGACCATCCTCTTAAATTTTTTTCCCCCATCATCAAACATTTGACCAACTCAGCAATTACTAGTTGGCAATCTGGTATCATACTTCACTTCCAGCAGGCATTCCGGTAGATCTCATTGATTGATAATAGGGGATTCATGAAGATCTACTGGAAAAAAAGTGAATTTCTTTTAATAAAGCTTATTTGTTGTTTCCAGGCTTCCAGTTATCTCACACTTTCCTCTAGTTTTAAATTTATTTCCATGGTGACTGAGAATGCCGGAAATTGTATCCTACACAATTGAATGATGCTGTGTTGAGAAAGGCTGCAGTACAAACTGCCTTATACCTTGTGACATGGAGGTAGCCATCGTCATCTGCAAAAGTTGGAATTTGAGGACTGTAGCATGTGCTTAACCCAATGTATCCCTGGAAGTGCTTTTGAGGAATAATCCCAATGTTCTCTTTATATTCCAAATAGTGAACAAATGAAAGAACTGGAAACAGCTGAAATGCTGAAAGGCTCCCTCACAGCTGACCAGCAGATCACTCTCATTAGCGGCTGCACAGATTTAAAAGAAGCTGTCAAAGGTGCCATTTATGTTCAGGTGAGTCCATAACGATCCAGTGGAATTCACATGAAAGAGATTTTGTGAGTTAATCTACCTTTCATATATGCTGCAAAACACCAATAACTGTTCTGTTCATTTAAACTGTTTCAGTTAAAGATAGTCCTTGGCTTAATAGAGTCTGCTCAGCATGGTGGTAAATTGTGATAGTTGTAAAATATAGAACCTTTCACTCAAAATACAGAAAAGAAAAGTTTAAGCTATTAAACCAAATCAAAGCAAAATTTAAAGCACCGTCCTAAAGTAGACATATACAGGAACTTGGTTGAATAGGTGTTTGTAAAATTCATTCATTCATACATAAAAAGGTAAAGGTTCTCCTTGCACACACATGCTAGTCATTTCCGTTGGTGCTCATTTCCGTTACATGCCGAAGAGCCAGCGCTGTCTGAAGACGTCTCCGTGGTCATGTGGCCAGCATGACTAAATACCAAAGGCGCACAGAATACTGTTATCTTCCCACCAAAGTGGTCCCTATTTTTCTACTTGCATTTTTACATGCTTTCGAACTGCTAGGTTGGCAGAAGCTGGGACAAGTAACGGGAGCTCACTTCATTATGCGGTGCTAGGGATTCAAACCGCCGAACTGCCAACCTTTCTGATCGACAAGCTCAGCATCTTAGCCATTGAGCCACCATGTCCCTTCATTCATACATGCATACATTCAAATTGTACATCTGGCCATCTCAACTAATAATTCTGTGTGATGAACAAAATAAAGTTAAAAAAAATCTACAGAAATACAAACATTAAAATAGATAGCAGCCCAGAAAATATAATTCCCATAATCACTTACACAACCAAAAACAAGTCTGTTCACATACTCGGGGGACCCTGAGCCAGAACTTCAGGACTTCACAAAAGACCAAGAAGTTTGGGTCCATCTTTATCTAAAATTTCTATCTAAAAGTGAACATCATCCTTTCAGAAATCAGATTGCCTCCAACTCTGCTGGCTCTTTGCAATACTTTGAAGACCTGATTTTGTGCCAGATGACATGTACCACTAGAGGGGGCAATGTGCTAAAAGTTAAAGCTAAAGAAAATGATTGTTTAAGTGACAATTTTCATTTGCTTTTGGCATATTTCTTGGGCTAAAGCCCTGGCTTAATTTTAAGACTTCTTCAATGTAACTTATTTTACGTGTGTGTGTGTGTGTGTGTGTGTGTGTGTGTGTGTGTGTGTGTGAGAGAGAGAGAGAGAGAGAGAGAGAGAGAGAGAGAGAGAGAGAGAGATTTCTATACCATAACAAAATATCAGTGATATCAGTCTTCTCTTTCCTTCTCCCTTGTTTTCACTAAGACACCATGGATATATGTCCAAGTTGCTTATTTTGCAACAGTCTAGAAATGTTCGCTGCCTTTTCCATCTTCCAGGATTTTTTTTTTTCTATTTCCCAGTCAGGTATCTAATTCTGGGATTCTCTAGAGATTTCTCATTTAAATCCTAAGCAGATCCAATACTGGTTATGTTCTCAGTTCAGACAAAGTTGATCAGTACTGCCACCTGCTAAAACTACTTTTGGTTGACTTGGCTTTTTAATCATTTAATTTATGGGAATAGTTAATGTCAGGTACAATCTAATCAGTTTTTACTATCAATGTGACATAAGAAGTTGGCCTTAATATCGTTGGTTGAAATGAATAGGATTTCATGGGGAGAAATGACAAAATCATTTGGTGATTCAGCCAATGGTCTACTGCAATAATCCAACATGAACCTGCTATTTGTGTTTCTGTAATAAGAAACAAATGGATCCTATGAACAGTCATTAAATGAGACACATTTCTGAAGTTCTGATATACTTTAGGTCAACTTCTCTTGTCTGGTCCCTTCCTACAGCTAGCCTCATCCCCAGTTAATTCTGGCCAAGCTGCCTAGCTAGGATGGGGATTGTAATCTCAGGACATCTTAGTTGAGGAGGGTTACTATAGGTATTATTTCTGGTGGTTCGCTGAAGAAGAATCAAACTCCCAATTTTCTCCTTAATCTTATGAAATCATATCTACATTGTAGTCAGCAGTTGTCGGCTATGTTGCATATTGGTATATTTATTAAAGTTTTATTAGAAGGATTCCTTCTTTTTAACGAATGATTTCTTCTACATTTCTTTCACTTGTATTGTAAAGCTCTTTCAAGCATTCACTACACATAGATGTAGCGAATGAATCCTCTCTCTTGCACATTTGACACTAGGCTCACCTTCCTATATCAGTATGCTATATGCAGCATTGTCAAGCTTCTGTGACATGGAGGAAAGACATTACAATAGTGCAAATATCTCTTTAAAGACTGAGAATCACTATTTGGTAATAATTTGTGCTGAATATCTTGAATATAAATATCTTGCTTCCTTCCCTCCCTTTCAGTGAGAGGCTAGATTCACAAACCACATGAAGCTGACATTGGATTGTGATTTGTTAAACAAGCCAGTTGGCTGGATTTATTGATAGATTTATAAAACCCACTAGCCCAAAATGGCAGGTAGAATCAAGGTCCTCGCTTAAATATTTGAATGCTGTTTGAGAATTTTACACTAAGAAATAGATTAACTCATTTAATGTAACAGTGAAATAAAAGCAAATGCATAGTTCTGTTTCCAAAATCTATTATCCTACCTTTACTTTTGAAAACCAAAGAATAGAATGTTTCAAGTTAAAAAAAGGAATATTGAATTATTGCACACAAAAGAGAAAAACTGTCTTCAGAGTATAAATAAGGTTAAAGAATACGTATTAAAAAGTTATTTCAGAATTCCATGGAAAAATTTACACTTTAGGGTGTGACCTCATTACCCCTTAAAGATTCAGTCATAAAATCAAGGTGATTGTGTGCCAGAGAGAACCAGGGTAAACATCTTGCATGTAGTATTTGTGTCTGGCTTCTGCAGAGCAGACAGTTGGAGCCAATAAAGCAAATCATGTGCTACTTGGAAGACAAAGAATGAAATAATCCACAAAAGCACCAGCCAGTTTGAATAAGATAAAATTTCTTTATGACTTCAGATGGATGAAAGGTAATGTCACATGCCAAAAAGCAGTGTACTTCAGCACAGTAATACCTAGTAGCTTTTATAAGATAACACATATGTCTTTGTTATTTTTAAGGAAATATTGATTATTCAACAGGTGCTGTTGGCTTCATTACATTTGGTCAATATATTTTCTTTATAAATCAGGGTTCTTCAAACTCGTGACTCCCGAAAAATTTGAAAATACTTTTTCCAAATGCATTCTAGTTGTCTAAAAACTGTTATCCATTGGAACTGTAATTTTTATTTAGCAGATGTTATATTTATGGAGAGGAAAAGTATATAACAATATGGTAAAAATAACATTTAATCTTAAACAAATTTATTTCTTATCCTAGCCTCAAACAGTTATAGGAATATAGTTTCTAGTACGTCACTCCGGCCAAATTTTTGCCACTAAACTTTAATTTTTCTGTAGTTTTACAAAAATTATGACCATCACCACTAACAACAAAGATTAAATCTCAAGTGTAACCATGTTTCATGTTTATTGTCTGGGGGACAATGCAATTTTTTAAATCTTAATTATTTCTACTAGAGTATATTACATATTTCTCCAATATCCTCCAAAATATTCAACTGAGATAAGTGATTTATTCCCTAGTTTAGAAATCCTGATTAATTCATTGTAAGCAATTGTTTTATCTGTAGATTACTTTTACATTCAGTTCTTGGTTAATGGCTGAAATGGACTTAAAGGGAATGCTATAAAAGAATTCTCAGCAAGCTTATCAGATGTAAATCTCTTCCATACTTTCTGTTAAAAGAGCTTGTTGTATTGATGTAATCATTTCACATAATATTTAATTATTATTTTTAATTATGTGGATATATACCATATAGATTGTGCTTTTATTTGAAATACTTAGTTGATATCAAGTTGTGACAACTCTTACACAGAATATATTAAGAAGAAACATGTTTCCAATCAACAATCTATAGTTTTCTATTCTCTTATGGTTTGCATTGTTTTTGACCCAGTTTGGAATTGAATTAAGTGTAACTAAACTAAATTTTAGCCTTTGGTTAAAATTGGTTAAAACCTTTTCCTTTACTAAGACATTTTGAACAACTACTCATATGAGATCTAGTATATATCTAAAAACTACAACCGGTAAAATTACTTTAATAGGTACATCACAAAACATATTTGTGAAGACCCAAACAAATCCATTTAGGTTAGACTCATCTGGGTGGGGGCATGTATGAAAAATAACTCAGAGCCATGTAGCTTTCATTGTGGTGTTTAGAGTCATGGTATACTTACAGCTTTGGTATATGATTTGTTTTAAATTTCATACTTTTTCATAGTAAAGTGGCTATATATAGAGTTTTAATACAGAAGTGAAAGGCAATCATTTCAACAGCAAGTTGCCATTGTTACAAAGGAATCAAATGTCCTAATTAGGGATGTCGCAAGGAAAGTTTTAGAGATTCTGTTAAAATCGAAAGGTGCATTACAGGGTCCTTACTGACATTTTAGAGGTCAGTTAGAGCTCTGAAATGAAGGGTTTCTGTACAAATGAGAAATGTAATCCTTGTCACTAAAGAAATGGGCAAACCTATATTAGAGTCCTTTAAAAAGCACTCAGGCTTATCCTTGTAAAGATCTAGCTGTTAAAACTGCCTTTTCCATTTGTGAATAGGTTCTACAGTTTTGTAGCTTTTCATGCATTATGCAACCCATGATTAACAGCAGATTAGAACTTAATTTAGTTCTTCAAGGAGTCAGCCTCACAAAAGAACATAAATCCATCCCTGAGGACAATTACTTTTATTCCATTCAGTCCAGCAAATTGAATACAATTGTCTCTCCATCAGAGAAATTCTTTGCAAATGCTCTTGTTCAGTGACTTTGCATAATTTTTGCAGGCTTGAGTTACTGAAGTATCCAGCTTCCCCTGGGTGATTATCGCCAGATCTGGGGGGAGAAATGGCTTTGGGTTTCAGGTGGAGAATTTCATAAAGACACTACTCAATGCCACTCATTTATTTGTGTGTACAAGTATCCTCACAGCCTTCCAACCCTGTGACTTTGTTATAGAAGTATTTGAAAGCAATCTTCCCTTTTGCCACAATGATCCAGCAATTAGGAGAAAAGCAAAGGTTTTTGTTTCAATAGTAACAGGATGTATTGCAATTTGACAACAATACTAGTGAAATAAATTAGAGGCCAAACTTGTAAACATTTCTAAGCACTGCATAGCTTGTGTTCCAAAAGCATCTAATTGTATTGAAATATTTGTGAAAGGCTCCCATTATATATTTTAATATACCTATTTTGTATTCTAGGAATGTATACCGGAGAATGTAGAACTGAAAAAGAAGATTTTTTCTCAATTAGATCTAATAGTCAATAATGATACTATCCTAGCTAGTTCAACTTCGACTCTTTTGCCTACAAAATTATTCACTGGATTGAAGCATGTGAAGCAATGTATAGTTGCACATCCTGTAAGTATCTCAAGGTATTTTGGAGATATGTTTTTTTCAAGCCTAAATGGGAAGTCAAAGGAAAGAGATTGATATGACTTTCACAAAATTTTTGCATGTGGTATGTGAAATTTTCAAGAGGGTATCATTCTGAAATGCAAACTTACAAAAAAAATGAGGGCTCACATTAAATCCTTGGTGACCATAGTTTTACAAACTGCCCTGGATCAAAGAATGGCACACAATTGATTTATAATAAATATATAGAGCAGCACCATTGTAATGAGGAATGTTTAACAACATTTGGTTAAAGTTTGTTACAATAATTGTCAGAATGCATCATGGAGATCTACTCTATAGTTTGCTTCATTGTCCTTTATATTCTTCTTAAGATACTAGGCTTTGGCAGCTTGATTCTGATGAGAATCAGATCATGTTGCTCCTTTGGCTTTAAAATTACTGTAGGGTTGCCTGGTCAAATAATAGATCTATTAATATGCTTTCTCTCTCTCTTTAAATGGTGATGTCAAGGTAAATCCACCATATTATGTGCCGCTTGTTGAATTAGTTCCTCATCCAGAAACAGATCCCTCTACCATGGAGAAAACCTATGATTTGATGAAGAATATAGGACAATCACCAATTAAATTAACAAGAGAGATAGATGGATTTGTTCTGAATCGACTTCAGTATGCTCTTATTAGTGAAACATGGAGACTCGTTGGGGTATGTATGATTTTTATTCTGCTTCTGACTTCTTCAGTCTACAATTTATGACTTAAAATTTGGCATACATATTGCACTAAGTTTTGGTTTGTTTAACTGGATTTGTTGAATAAGCCACAATTAGCATTGTATGTAAAGCACTAAACCATAAATAATAGTTTACAAAGATTGACTGAGTCTATAGTTTATACCAAATCACTATTAAATAAAACCACATCATGGCTTAGTATGATATGCAGACCTAGTCCTATAGTATATTCTTATACATAATTACTTAAAATATATATGGGACTTACCGTGTTTCACCAACAATACGGCCTCCACCAATAGGAAGACCCAGCATGTTTTCTAGGCATAAAATCAAATTAAGCCCCTCCCCCCAAATTTAGGTCTAGTTTAAAACATGCAAAATGGGGGGAAGGGTGGGGGGACTTGCCATTTGGAGTGCCGTTGGAGCTGCCGCCGCTGTTTGGAGTGCCGCCGCCACGTTTGGAGCTGCCGCTTCCGCGTTTGGAGCACTGATGCTGTTTGGAGCACCACCGCCATTTGGAGCACCGCCGCCACTCCAAACATGGCAGCAGCTCCAAACACGGAAGCGGCAGCTCCAAACGTGGCAGCGGCACTCCAAATGGCGGCTGCAGCTCCAAATGGCGGTGGCGGCTCCAAACACGGAAGTCACTTTTGGAGCTGCCGCTTCCGTGTTTGGAGCTGCCGCTGCCGTTTGGAGCCGCTGCCACGTTTGGAGCTGCCGCTTCCGCATCTGAAGCACTGCCACTGTTTGGAGTACCGCCGCCATTTGGAGCACCGCTGCCACTCCAAACATGGCGGCAGCTCCAAACACGGAAGCGGCAGCTCCAAACGTGGTGGTACTCCAAATGGCGGTAACAGCTCCAAATGGCGGCGGCAGTTCCAACGGCACTCCAAACGGTGGTGGCAGCTCCAATGGCACCCCAAACGGCAGCGGCAGCTCCAACAGCACTCCAAACGGCGGCGGAATGGGCAGAAGGGAAAACAACAGCGGCAGGTGCCAAAGGTTTTGGGTCTGCAGCAAAGGTGTTTGGTGGGAGTAGGGAGCTCTCTGTGCTTCTCCATGATCACCCGTTAGGAGCGGCTGGTGGCGAGTCTGCCCGTGGGGCGCTCTAGATGAGGATGAAAGAGGGGGGAATTAAGTCACCCCCCCAAAAGACAGCCTAGCCATTTTTTCGGGGCTCAAAAAAAAATAAGGCCCGGCCTTATTATGTGAGAAACACGGTACTACAAGCTAAGTATAACATTGCAGTCAGAAGTAAGTCTTAAGGAACTCAGTAAGACATCCAATAGGAGTTTCATTGATCTAATGGCTTATCAATAAGATTGATTGATTAATAAACAGACAGATAGGATTGCACTGTATATCTTAATTGTTTTCTATATGTTGCCTTTGAGCTTTGTCAGGTAGAAATGTTGGAGATTGCAGACCCACAGCTGAGGGAAATACATAGTTATTCTTTGCTAATCTGGAACAGGCTAGTGAGTGTGAGATCAGGCTGATTGCTGGATAAGGGAGGACCATATGCTGTGAACGTTGGGTCTAATATTATTTTTCCTGTATAATTAAGTTTGTGGAGTAGAGGGAAGAATTGATCAAGAGAGAACCGGTGGCAAAAATAAATACATTACTCATTAAACAAAAATTCTTTAATAAACACAATATAATTCTGCATTAAGTATAATAAAATTGAAGTAGATAACATGACTATCAAAAGCAAAGTAATATTCATTTCATAATATAACAGCTTTAAGATTTTTTTTCATATTCATCTTCCGTTGACATAATGATGAGAAGTTCGATTCTGTAGTTAACATGCTAAAGCTAAAACATGGAAAGAAACAAATACGTTTTAAACATGAAAATGAAAACATTAGAAAAAAATCCAAAATTCTTAATCTGTTAAATTGTTACTGAATTGACGTTTCTTCTTTTATGTTAATTTCAAAGGGCATTTTCAAATACTTGTGCAAGAGCTAATTTTATTCCATGTTGCTTGAGTACTCTATTTAGTTACCTGTTTCTACATATGCTATATGTATGTTCCAATTTCTTGCCTTGTTTTCCCACATTGCCGTTTTGAAGAGATTGTTTTAGTAAGTGTCATGTCTTAAAGGATTGGTTTAATTATATTGATAACTTTCCATTCTGGGCTTAGCCTGTTTTCAAGTAAAATGACTTTCAAATGACTTTCAAATGCTAATAAGATTAGGACTGTAGAACATCAAATACTCTACTCAGAAGAGTAGAAAACAGAAAGCAGAATTTTAGCCTTATCAGTTAAATTTGCAATCAAATTAAGGTCAGAAATTGTTGAAGAACCATTTAAAGCATGGCCATTCAGAACTGAATACTTTAACCAGATTGAGATAATAAACTGTTCATGATTGCTCATGAGTGAACCCCAATAGGTTCTTTCTTACCAGAAGACCTGTTCCTTGATTTTGGAACTTTTTCAAATCTTAACTCTCTAAAGTTGCTAAACTTGTGGGAGAGTTTTGAGTT